GTACACAGTGGAAAGTCGAAAACGACGGTCGAACAGTTATCGTACCGTGCTTTCTGGAACGCTATTTCTGTTAGTAGGCTATGCAGTTGTCATGTTAATACTACTCTGACCCTCGTTGACGAACGTTCACCCCTGCCTTCTCGCTCTCGTTGATTAACGTTCACCCCTGCCTTCTCACCCTCGTTGATTTATGTTCACCCCTGCCCCTAACGAACGTTCACTAACTGCCTATATTACTCTAAACATTCTTCATCTTTTTGCAGTTTTTACACGCCAATTGTAAGATGAATAAAGCCAAACTGTAGGGTGCTCGCTAATTCTCTCTCCTCGTCTGTTTGGCTTGCATGTACTGAATCTCGCGACTCTATCTATTCCGATCACGACAGTAACATCAGTAGGAGAAGAACCCTAGAAATGAGCGGAAGAAAAGGCCACGCCGACATTCAGCTCAGATGTAAAGAGGAAGTTATGAAAAAACACACGAGGGGATCAGTCCAAATCATAGGAGCCTCAGTCAATTCGTGGGAAATAAGTGTAAAAGGAAACAGGCAAATAACTCTAGTTGCAAGAATATGTCATGCAGATAGACTCACACGCCAGCTATGGTAGAAGACTCCAGAATGGGGTCACCATCCAAATAAGGTACAAGACACCCGGAGCTGTCCATTAGGAAGAATCTGTGAGTAGCGAAAATGGAAATGGAGAGATTTATACACGAAACAAAGTCGATTTCAAGTGAAAATTAGCGATTCGTCAGTAAATACAAAAAGGAAATTGTCCTAGGAAAGGAAATAAGATCATGAATAAACTATTTGGAATTGCGTCCGATGATGAAGTACCAGTCGACTTACTTCAGACCATATTAATAATAACTAATGCTGAGAAGAACGCTCCAAGTGTATGGCCCTCGGTGATGGTGTTATGGCAAAGATAACGGAAAATACTCGCATGTTTTTAATAACCCACATCCGCAACATTTAAATCATCTTGAAAACCTTAGCTGACTGATCAACGAAGGACTCTTAAGCAAATGTGAAAAGTGATGAAGTTTGGATGCAAAAATGCATCTAGGAACCTCTTACCCGAAACGATAATCGCTGAACTCTCCGTTCGAATCCACTGGATCTAGATGTTTAAATTTTTCTACAGCCAGTTCTGTCTGAAGACAAAATCGGAGGTAGTCAGCGTCAAAGGGGTAACTTCTGATTTTGCGCAGAAGAAAAGGAGCATTGGGCAAAACGGCACTGACGTTCAACCAAGACAGCTCACGCTTGGCCTGTATAGATGGAGCAGACGCATCCAAGCCGGCTGTGGCCCACAGGAAAAGGTAGTTTGACAGTCGCAGGGGTGTCTTCGAAGAACACGCCTTTTGCCAGATATCCTTCAACTTCTTGATAAGGGTTTCGGAGGACAAAACGCTGGAAGGAGGCCCACGAAAAAGCTGCGAGACGTAAAACGAAGATAACAGATATACGAAAACGAAGAAGACAGAAAATTGACGCGCATTACTGAGACCATGAAATCAAATGT